CCTCTGTGATTCCTATCCTGATTTGATCGTTCTCCTCTTTGAGTTTTTACACAGTACAGGATTAGATATCTTCATTTGAATAAAGGGGTTTTTTCCTGCATAATTTGGCAAAGATTGCAGGTTTTTCCCTATTGGCTAGGAGTCCTGGTTTTTCTTAGTTAGGACTTTCCAGGACTCAATAGCATCGCACAACACCACAAGGTCGTGCCGGGCAGCGGAGCCCGGGGCTGATCTCCCCGTTGCTGCGATGAGGCGGGCCGGCATCCATCCATCGCACAGGTCGCCGACAAGTCAGCTGAGCCAAGGCCATCGCTGACACGGACACCCCACGCAGGACACACGGCACTCCAGGAGTAAGGCGGAAGGGCCGGCGAGGAGGCTCACTTGTCGTTCAAACGTATTGAATGCGTGCTATGTCGTCATGAAATAAATATATCTGTTGCTGCGGTCTGATTTACTTGCTATGACCTTGCTGGACAAAAATGAGCCAGGTTAACGTAACGTCACTTACGAATACCCTTTCCCTTGCTTTGCGCCGGACAGCATAAGCCGGTTTAACGTAATCGTCTCCTGGCCTTGTGCCGGAAGTAAATTCCCCCCCCCCCCTCGGAGGTGACTTTAGGTCCGTCGAGGGAAAACAGAGGCCTTACATTGGCCCACCAAAAAAAAGAAGAAGAAGATGGATGGGCTCGACTGCCCTCCAAGTGGCAATGGGTTGGGTTCAGTGCAGGGCTGTGGGCTGCTATTGGTTGTGCTCATGCCGGTGAGAAGCTGACTGGCTGGAAGGACGTAGCTAATAGCCAGTTCCTTAAGATAATAGTGTTAAAAGCTTTGCCGATCTGGGAGGACCGTTGTTTGTGGATATCTTAGCTGAAGCTTCAGAGGCAGACGAACGTCGCTGGAGCGACACATATCAAGGATTCATCCTGGGCTTCCTGCTGCTGAGAGGACAGCGGCTTTGAAGCAAGATGCGAGCGTCGCTGGTGTAGGCCTCTCACATTGCCCGCTGCACCTGGGGGTTAGCATACTGATTGGTGGACAGGTGTGAGATAAAACGCCTTATGTTGTCATTACATCGTATATACAGCTAAATGAAGTTGCTAGAGATGTTCAAAAATGTCGTTTGATAGCTACTTTCGCATGGGCAGAAAGTGCGAATCCTGCACCGGTAATGATTATGCAAAGATACTGAAGGTCACCGACGCTTCAAGCTGGCTGTACGATTACGTCACAAAACCAAAAGCGATGTTGTTTCAGGTGCTTGTAGAGCCATGTTATCGGTAAATGTAAGGCTGCAGGGGTGCAGTTTTTGCAAAATACGTAGGGGTGAGGGAGGGAAGTGACAATGGGGGTGCATGAGGAAAAATGACTGAGCCTGCCTCCGAAATGCGCTTAGAACAGTTTTCCCCTCAGATTTGACGACTTTTTCACAGTTGTGAGCAGGGATGTAGCTTCTCAAAATTAGCTCTCGGGGCTGAACACCCAAAAGCTATGACAAGTAAAAAAGAATAGGCAAAAGCAGCAACTAAAAATAGGAATGTGCATGCCTGGTTAATAGGACGAAGTCCCACCTCCCCCCCCCCCCCCCCCCCCACCAACTGAATAAAAAACAATACGCCTTTAGGCTGGTTATGTTAAACATGTCCTTATGTTATTATTCTGTTAGTCTAGTCCCAACCATCACTCAACGTTTGGTGGCCAGCAAGTGACACTGAGTGCAAATAAACTTGCGAAGCGGAAATATTTTAAAGCTGTGCCACATTGCATTGAATTTGTTTTTGCTTTTGTGGTTTATCACATTAAAAGTAAAGTGCAACAGTTTCTGAGATATTTGACTCCAGGTGACAATTTGGACGGTTCCAAACGTCGTCGGTGACAGAAGAGCAACTTTCTCACCCATGGGCACTCGCTAGCCGACAGGATCCGTGAGAAGAAAGCAACAGGCTTACCATTCTGACAAAGCGTTGCTGCGACAGCGCAGTCTGAGGCCTCCGTCTCTAAGACGAAGGGAGCCAGTGCAGTCCATAGCAGTGATAACAGCTTTCGCTACATCTTGTTTCAGCTTACAAAAGGAATCAGTAGCCGCCTGATCGAGCGGAAATGTGCTGCTCCCAACAAGTGGGACGGATCTTCCCCGAGTGCCTGGATATCCAACGAGAGCCGTGCGAAAACATTCTAAGCGCACTACGAAGGGAGGCGGTACCGTGCGGCATGGGAAGGTCCTTGAGCGGTTTCAGGCGCTCAGCGTAGGGTTTGATGAATCCATTGACTGTGCTGTATCCCAGGAGGTTCACAGACTCCGTATCGAAGGTGCACTCATCCTTGTTGAAGGACAGCTTGTACCGCTTGACCACTATGAGGAAGCGCTCTAGGTTCTCGTCATGTTTAGCCTTTACCATGCCACACACGTTGACATTGTCCATATGCGCGAACGTGTCCTGGAGGTCGATCGTTTTTAATGATGGCGTCGATCGTCCTTTGGAAGGTAGTGAACCCATTGGTGACCCCAAATTTGATCCTGCGGAACTGATAAAGCTCGCCGCCAGCCTGAAATGCTGTGTACGATTTCTCCTCGTCCTAGGCATCTGATGACACGCGCTGCGGAGGTCCAGAGCGCTGTGCACTTTATAGCGAGCTACCTTTCCCACCTGGGCGTGTATGTTAGGGAGAGGAAAAGGCATCTCATATGGTGAAACGATTCACCATCTGAGAGAAATCAATCACCATGTATTTCTTATGATTCTCATTGGCTGTGGCAACTACCTGAGCCGTCCATGGGGAATTGCTCGGCTCAATGACCGCCTCTGCCAAGATTCTGTCAGTCTCGGTCTGGATGAACTGAGCGTCAGATTTGGCATACCGTCTGGATTTCACAGCGAAAGGTCTGCAGTCTGGAGACAGGTTCCCAAACAAGGTTGGTGGAGCTACCTTCATAGCAGCCAGATCACATACTATGAGACATGACCTAGGTCCCCCGGATAGGATCTCTACTCTAGCATGCTGTGCGAGGACGTCGTGACCCAGGATCACATCAGCGCACGCGCCACGAAGAGCTGCCAGTCGCGCGTCAGTGTACCAATGCTCATAGAGCGCGATATCCGCGACACAGTATCCCTGGACTGCAGAATATAGTGACGTAGAACCCATCGAAGCCTGCCAGTCAGATGAAAACATCTGCCAGCCGAGGGAAGCGACGACGTCAACGACGCGAAAACCACCTGTGTCTACTAAGGCGGTGGCGGGATGTTTATTCACCTCAGCACACACTACAGCCTTTTGGAGAGGCCACCTGGCGAGGTAGCCGAAGTAGCAGCCAGCACGGGAGCAGCAGCTGTGGTGCTCCTGCCTGAGCCACGGTTTGAAGATCTGCACACTTTCGAGAAATGGCCAAGTTTCCCACGCGCGTTACATTTAGTATCCTTCGCGGGATATTTCGCTCCAGGGTGCCTCAGGTATCCACAGAAGTAACATCTGGTTGCAATAGCTGGGGCAGCGGGTGTAGCCGCTGCGGAAGGCAGTTCGGACGGCAGACCATCTGCCGGATAATCCACAACAGCGCCAGGAGTCGGCACGGCAGCAGCGTTAACTGGCAGAGACGGACGAGCGTAAGAGTCTGCGTGTTTTTATGCAGCTCCCAGTGATCGCGCCCGCTCAAACGCTGCCCGCGGCTCAACACTCTTGTTCTCCAGTGGGCGTTGGCGAATAGAAGATGACATGAGACCACTTATGAGCGCATCACGTATATGATGGTCTCGATTCTGCTCAGCAGTAACAGCTTGAAAGTCACGGTCCTTGCTCAAGAGTTTGAGACTGGACAGGGACTGGTCAAAAGTCTCTCCTGGTTCCTGCTTCGGAGTAGCACGAAAGTGCCTCGCGAATATACCACTCTTTGGTTTGATGTACAGCGACTGAAGAGTCGCAAGTGCATCTTCATGTGGGACAGCCACCAATGTGTTCACTAACCACAGGAGATATATAATTGATGAACGTATTCGCTTTGTTCGGCTGAACGACTTCAGCTTCCCTCAGGGAGCTTGTCAATGTCCTATACCAGTGGCGCCATTGCTGAGCAGCGGTGCTCAAAGTGGGATCCGCATCAAATCGTTCTGGCTCCAAAAACTTCTCCATGCTGTGTCTTGAATGATTATTATGCAGATTTACTATATAAGCTAAATAAATTGTGGTAGAAGCATGAAAATGCCTTTCCTATCCAAAGCTTTAGTCAGCTCAATTGAGACTTACTTGACAGAAGGCATCTTAAAGCAAATGCAAGCGATGAATGCCAGCAACCATATCACAAATTCACCACAACCTGCAGACATCACGATTTGGGTGTTGTTCGCCTTGATCCACAAAGTAGATATCTTTAATTCTTTCTTGTAGGCATTTGTTGTTTTTTTCATTGCAGCTACCTTATTTGTTAGGTCATTGTGCAAGTATTGACAGATTTTCACGAAATAACACTTGGATCGAGACAAAAAAAAAACTGTAAGCTGTAAAATGTGGCGGCTTTCATGCGTATTGATGCTGGCATTATGGTGTAGCGGTTTCATAAGGTTGGGCCGTTGCCTTCTACGAGAGTCACACCTTTAAAAAACGCACAAGCATCACGAACATTCCAGCCGTTCAGGCCATCACATCCTGTCACTGAGTATCCCGCACGACACAAATGGCTGCCCGGAATACTGGTGGCTACACCGAAAGGTTTCGATGACATGTACGATATAAGCAGAACAAGAAATTCCCCGGCTGATATCAGTGTCCACCACAATGACTAGAAAACTCTTTTGTCGCATAGAGCTAAGCGACGTTGCTGAAAAAGCTTGCCAAGCTGCTCAAAATCTAACCGTAAAAGCATCAAGGTCCCAGGACGACGACATTCTTTTCGTTGTCTGCTCCAAAAAGGTTGGCAGTGCTTTAGTTTTACTTATCGACGTGTAACTTTTGCCGACGGTCACTTTTGTGGGTACATTAAAGACATTTGTGGCGCGTATCTTCCACAGGTATATCGTTTCATGGAAGTTGCCGGCTGGTGCTGTTTGACGCCCGAGGTCTCACGGTCGTTGCATATTTCGTGGTTTCGGAGCCTCTCCACCTGACCGTTTCTGTTCTTATTCTTAGGACCTCGGCTGCTTCATAATCATGGTACTATTAGCGGCTGCCGTCACAACCCGGTCCGGGAAAGCCATCCTTTCCCGACAGTTTATTGAAATGCAGAAGGCAAGGATTGAGGGACTTCTTGCTGCTTTTCCGAAGCTGATGTCGGCGGGAAAACAGCATACTTTTGTCGAAACAGACTCCGTCAGGTATGGTGTTGATGAACGATCCCTGGGCCCATGGGCTAAAGTTCAAAAAAGTGTGATATGCTGTACATGTCAGGTGTGCTAGTGACACCACTGCAGTTTTGATCAATAAATGTTGACTGTAAATCTGAATGTAGAGAGTTTGGGCTAATATTGTGGAACGTTCTGTTATGGTGTCTGTTTTGAGTACTCAAGCCACCTTTGTCATCCAAAAATGTGTATAAAAATGTGATGCAAGGTGGCTTGGCCAGGGTGGTGCATGTTGGACTGGGAGGCTGTAAAACCCAGTGAACTGGTGTTGTGCAGGTGTCTTGGGATCAGTTGAGATCAGTTGAAAAGATCAATTAAGATCAGTAGTAAAGATCAGTTGGGATCAGTAGCAAAGATCCATTGAGATCAGTTGAGATCAGTAGCAGTTGTCAACTGAGATCAGTTGAGGTCAGTTGTAAGCTTCCTATCATGATCATCCCAGCATTTTTATGAAGGTCATGCCACAACATGTTTTTTTGTGTCATTTCTATTCCCATCAGTGGGAATTATTCACTATCATGCTCATGTTATATATCCTGATGTATCTTGTGGACCGCAGGATACATCAGGAGCTTACTCACACAATCTTGGAAGCCAACTGATATTATTGACACATATGTCAACAGTGTGAGTTTGTCCAAGCATATAACTGGCTACATTTAGGATTGTAAATGCACATAATGACTTGATAAGGACATTGTTAAGTCCTAAGTATGTCATAAATTCTTGCATACCAATTTGTCAAAGTGGCATATGTTTTTGCATGGAGAAGGCTTTATCAGGATGACATTGTCATTAAAACTGTGTGATGACCACTGCTGCCTATGCTCCAGATATGTGTATCAACCCCTGGACCAGCTGTATGTGCTGCTCATCACCACCAAAGCATCTAACATTTTGGAGGACCTCGACACACTTCGCCTCTTCACCCGTGTCGTGCCAGAGTACTGCAATGCCATGACGGAGGCAGATGTCTTTGACAATGCGTTCAACCTCATCTTCGCTTTCGACGAGATCGTGGCACTCGGTTACAAGGAGTCGGTGAACCTTTCAGCAGGTATGAGTCTGATGATTGCTGTGCACTGCAGGGTTTTGGTCACACATCAGTGTTCTCATTCCCTGTGATCCAGGCAGGTGGGTATGACCTCCCTCACATGCCGACATCGCACCGCATTCCGGCCGCCGGACGGTCGCCAGGATCAATTTTTTTTTGTGTGTGTGGGGGTAACTAGCGTAATTTGCGTTATAAGCTGAGTCACAAGTTAGGTGACATGGTTGGCCTTACCTTTTACCTCTCGGACCACGAAGGTTGAGACACGACCCGACGCGCGGGCGCCGCAGCTGGCGCCCATTGCCGCTAGTGCTGTCGCCACCACTCCGCCGCGTGACCGGGGGACGATCGGTCCGGCCAGTGGCCACTCGAGACACGGCCACTCACGCGCCGAAATGGGGTAGAATGAGTCGAAATTTGCGGTTATTCTTGTCGAAAATTGCGGTTATTTCTCGCGCTCCGTCTCGCCGGATATAAGGCTGGCAAAACTGAACAAGGTGGACGAGTCTGTGTGTTTCTAAGCAGGCCCGCATCGCCCTAGCAGATATCGGAGCGCATGAGTGGATGCCCGGGTCGCTAGTGGTCCGTGTGTGATATAAGTACCTAAGGTTAGTTCGCAAGCTGGTTATCATGGCCATCGAATGGAGCTTCGGTGGCGGCGCGCTTAAAAGCATTGTTCACAGTTAGCCTGGCTCCGGATTGGCTGAGCCACGGACTTAACAGTGCCTTGCACATCAGTCCATCAATAAGGTGTAAGTATCTTGCTGTCGTCTGACTGGTCTGGCGGATGGTTGACCTAGAAGCTCATTACCACGTGTAGCGAGCTAGAACCTGGACGCCAACACGACCGAAGGCACCATTAACATCCGCGAAGGACAGATCTTGAACGAAGATGGACTGGGTCACGGGACGCGCCCTCTCGACAGGTGCGCACGTTTGTGGAAATGGACTCGCACGAGGAGAAGGTGTACCAGGCAGTGCGGCAGACGCAGGAGCGGGAGGCCAAGCAGAAGATGAGGGAGAAGGCCAAGGAGCTGCAGCGCCAGAAGTACGAGGCCCAGAAGCGCGGCGTCAGCTCGATGCCGTATGGCGGCATGGGCGGCGGCAGCGGTGGTGGAGGTGGAGGAGGAGGCAGCATCAACGTTATGCCACAGGTGATGCCTGTTGCAAGCTCTGGAGCAAAACTAGTGCATCATGGTGGAAATTGCACTGTCAGGTTTTGCGCACACTGTCTGTTTTTGATGAGGAAGAATGAAAATGGTCTAGTTTTGCTGTGTGCTTTTGACTAATCCACAGGTTTATGCACCTACTATGATCTGTAAGAAACCAAATGTGATGTGTGTTGGATGATGCGATGATGATGCCCATATGTTGCTCAAAGTAAATTTAAATTGGATCCTATGGATTTTACATTGGTAAAAGTTAGCCTGGCTCAGACATCATGAAGATTGTGTTGACTGCCAGCACTGCCCCCCCCCCCCCCTTCACCCCCTCCCATCCATAACTTATATGACACTACAGACTAAAATAGTGAAAAAAATAAAAAATGTGCCTCAGTTTAACTCCATAACATCCTGTGAGTGTCCCCATCCCCCAGCAGCCGCTGAGCCTCGCGTCTGCTCCAGGTCGGCGACACGGCCAGCACGTACGCCGAGCCGCGGCGGCCGGCGGCGGCGCCTCGGCCGGCCGGCCCCAGCCGCGCGCTCAAGCTGGGCAAGAAGAGCCGGGACGCTGACTCGTTCGTCGACCAGCTTAAGTCGGAGGGCGAGCAGGTGGCGCCCCGCGCGCCGGCCGGCGGCAGCGCGGCGCGCGCCGCGCCCGCCGTCCCCGTCAGCAGCGAGCCGGTGGCGCTGCTCGTCTCAGAGAAGCTGACGCTGGTGGCGACGCGCGACGGTGGCCTGCAGAACCTCGAGTTGCACGGCCAGATGACGCTGCGCATTACGGACGAGTCGTTGGCGCGCCTCCAGGTGCAGGTAGGGCGCCGCGACTGACTCGCGCAGTTATTGGAAGAAGACGCGTAGGCGTGGGGGGGGGGGGGGAGAGCAATGAGAACGTGGTAGTTCAACTGTCTTGGTGTTGGCAAATTGATGTGATGTGTATCAAAACAGGGATTGTCACACTGCTGTTAGGGTGGGTCCCACTAGTATTTGTCATTATCGTCGGGCTCGCCCTCTGGATGGTAGACCAGTACTGATGTGTACAGTGACGGATTGGCAACACCAACAGTCACCCCCAGTGCTCATCAGCTAAATGTTTTTGGATGCAAGCCAGGCGACCATCAGGACCTGGGGACAGCACCTGCTCGCTTCCGGTCTTACCCGCCCCCATTTCGCTCGTTTAGCCGTGCCGGCTGAGGCGACACGTGACCCCTCCAGCGACGCACGTGCACTCTGCCGCCAGCTCGTCAACAACGACAGCCGCGGCATGCAGACGCAGACGCACCCGCAGGTGGACAAGGAGGCCTTCCGCTCCCAGGCGCTGATTCGGCTCAAGAACGCGCAGAAGCCGTTCCCGGTCAACACAGACGTGGGCGTGCTCAGGTGGGCGGCGTAGTTGTGGACAGTTGGTGTGGTGCACAGTTATGGACAGCTAGTGTGACACAGTGGAAGACGCATTAGAGACACAGTCAGCCACATCACGCTTTTGGTCGCGATGTGTCGGGGAGTGGGAAGGGGAGGGGCGCTTTTGACCGGTACTGACGTCAATGGCAACAACTTACAACACCAAAAATCGCCCCTGGTTTTCATCAGCATAACTGTAGTTGAACAGCTGAGACGTCCATGTTGTATTATCCCTCAGCTCGTATATGCTGCCAGCGTGATTATGGGGCACACATCGCCGGTTATGCGCAATGTATGGCTCGTGAGGTGCTGACTGAGTTGGGTGAGATCATATGTTCTTTGCAAAATTATTTTGCGCACTGCTGTGGCATATGATGGCCATGAGATGTTTCTTCATGGACAAACTAGGTGTTTGTTGGGTAAACAGGGTTGATTGGCATATGCTACAGTCACAGGCCAGTGGCACGTGTTTTCCGGTCTGTCTGACCTGTTTTCATGCTACTGTCATCGAAAGCTGAACCTGCACATCCCCTTGGTTTGCACTGTCCGGTGTCCCGTGTGACGAATGCTACGCCAGATGAAAGATCGTGGCACATTTCCTTGTGTCTATAGTTAGGACGTTCACAACGGAAGTTGCAATGTCGCCGATAGATGGCGTTACCAGACCACGGACGAGAGCGCCATCCCGCTGAGCATCAACTGCTGGCCGTCCGAGAACGGCAGCAACGGCTGCGACGTCAACATCGAGTACTCGCTCGAGGACAAATCGATGGAGCTCAGCGACGTCGTCATATCGGTAGGGTGCCGTGCGAGGGACGTGATAACAAGTTCTGATCTGAGCAGTGGGAGTTGCGGACAGCTTCATTCCGCCGATTTCATGTCACTGTCGTTTGTCGGCGTTGGCTGGAATTTGCTGCTCAGCGAACAGTAGTATTTATTAAGTGATGCTGGTGCGTGAGGGTTTGCTGCTGGGGGTTTTGAAGTGCCTGCTGTTTGAGTTCTCGCCTACCACCGAGTGGGGAAAGGCGTGGGTTCGAACCTAGCTACGTGTCCAGCGCTTCGTCGTCCCCCTACGGCCATCAGTACCTGAGATTCATATCAATCGTTGCAACATCAGCCGTGCACTCGCGGTTCGTCAATGTTGCGTTTTGTACTCTCGCTTCATGGTCGCCACGCGCGACTTTCATCGGCTGCGGACCATCAATCAGCGCCACCCCGCGGACAGGCGTGGAAGTCTGATTTCTCGAATCGGTCGGCAGGTGCCGCTGGTGCGCGGCACGGGTGACCCGGTGGTGGCGGAGTGTGACGGCTCCTACACGCACGACACGCGGCGGCCTGCGCTTCTGTGGAACGTGCCACTCGTGGATGCTGACAACGCGGCCGGCTCCATGGAATTCAGCGCTGGTAAGCTGTCCTTGGCTGCGGCGGGCCATCTCAGGGCGTGGGATGTCAGTGGTGGGCGACATGTTTGACTCAGTCTGGAGGTCCGGGTTCGATTCCAGCCGCAAATATCTCGGATGGGCTCACGTTGCGGCCAGGTTGTGACTGCTGCGCGCTCGAATGGTGACCGGCGGCGACGAATGACGTACGAGCTGGACTGACCGGGTGAAGACATTGGTACACTGTCGTGGTGCTGGTCAGGCATGTGTGTGCCATGCTGCCAAGTTGTTGTCCAGGAACGACAGCCGTTGGGATGTGTGGGTTTTCTGTGATGTGAGCTTGCATAAGACATTATTGGGCTGACAGGCGCTGGCCATGTTCCATTTCACACGCAGCGTCCTGCACATGCGAATTGTTTGCATGAATGGACCTGCTCCTGTCACTGTATGATGTTTTTAGTATCTTTAGTAATCCACTTGACATGATTGTAAACATTGTGACAAAAACGAATGTGATCATGTGTGTGTCAGTGAGTATATTTTAGACGCGTGAGGCGTGTCAAATAATCAGCAAGCTGTTGACACCAAGCCGTGCAGGGGTTGTAAGCTTTTTCGTCTCCTCTATACGCATTTTCGAACGCACGCAAAGTCACTGGCTTCAGCATCACTGTTTAGTGTCGTTCGAGAGATAACACGTCCAAGTCAAACGTCTTCCGGAAGTATGTGATAGGATCCAATCCATTGAAATTGGTCCACGTGAACGATTTTGGCTCCTTACCAAGATTGCATGGAAAAGACGTCTATCCTGAGAGGACAGTGTTGACGAAGATCACCTTTAACTGTCTCCCTGCAAGGCACGCTCGGGCAGCTGAGTGTTAACAGATTACCCAATGCTGGCAAACTGGACAGTGCGTCGAGATCCATGGTATCCACTAGTCACGTGCTCGGCTAGCTCATTAGCTTCTTGCGATGTGTCATGGCGCTAGTTATCACTGTCACTTCGGCATATCTGCCCAACGCCAAGTCACACCTAGCGCAAGTAAAGTAAATGTTTTCCATCGAACTCGCCGAGGGCAATATCGTACACCCTTTGCAGCCTTTATAGGAACATCCTCATTCAGGTGGCTACAGACTCGGTAATGAACTTACTGTAGGTGAACATAACGACGATTAGCCTATAGACTCTGCGGGCGATAACATCCGCATTCGTCTTGCCCACTACAGGACCAGTAATGTGTATGTATTTCAGGCATTTACAGACAAATTCAGGACTGTCAGTGGGAATTGGTTCTTTCAACTTTGGCGATAACGTTCATTGACGCGTTTGAGACGGGGTTTGTGTCGAATCTGTAGCGTAAACCCGACTTGCACATTCATTATAGTGATGATATGCCTCGGGTGTAGACGCGTGGCCTGGGCGAGCCAACGCGTGGTCTGGGTGTGATAACTTCCCATAGTCCTGCCGTCCGCCTGGACGAGGAACACACACATGGAAAAGGGCGTTTGTTGTTTCTCGATACTTTGATTACTGCACCTCTCGGGAGAGTACACTACCGAGCTGTTCTCCAAACCGATGGCGGCTCCTTTCTTCACTTAAACTCGGCCCGTCCCATGGGCCTGAAAAGAGTGCCTCTTCAATCACAGATGCCACGTGCATTTTGGTTACCCGTGGACTGAGACCCAGGGTGGGTTTATGCAACAGACAAGAGCTATCCAGAGAATCGGTGGCGTCGCCACCACGTGCAAATAACCCCAATACCATCCAAACCCAAACTTGCCAGCTGATGTATTATGACATATGCTTGGCATATGTCAACGGAATAGTAGTTCCGCGGTCAAATGGTATAGTCAGGAGGGCTAATGGACCAATGAGTTTGCCTTGGGTCGGTGGGTCCCCGGTGACACAATATCTGGCGCGGTCAGCCATAGCAAAATGGTCAGCCATAGCAAAGCCCATCGGGCCGTCAGCGCTGGTGCACCTGAAACGGTGGTCTCATTACTAAATACCGATACAAAAACGTGTGATATAGCATAACATGTACGCTCGCGAATGGAAGGAGGGGAGCGGATTTTAGCGTAGGTGTGTGTGTAGGTGTGTGAATGAGGTATCTATCCAATAAATGTTTTAAAGACGCCAGCCTAAGTAGACTTGGCACGCCTTTGGGTAAGTATGTCTTATAGTCGCTGCCGACTCCTTAAATCGGAAATGAAGTACCGCCTTTGTGATCAAGCTTCTTTCATACAGGCGAATTGTTCCAAATTTGTAAATGAATCAGTCCACGTCAGAAAAGCCAGCCCTAAGCACAATCGCTGTTTTCTGACATCTGGTTGGATTTGTTGGGTAAAGTCTGCGTGCGGTTTGAGACCGTTGCATTATAAACATGAAGCGCATGCCATCTGTATGATCCCAAATTCAGCAGTTCCACGAAGGTCATTCTCGTGTGCGTCCATGAATATTAATTGAGTGCATGTCTTAGCCATACTGTTGGTATCGCGTATACTGGCATTTCTGGTTCTAAATTTCCAAAAAAACGTTTTATCTGGACCTATATCCTGGACGACAGTAGCTATTAGGTGTTTGCGTGCAGTTTGGATATGTGCTTGACTGAAAAAGAAGACCTTGGATGACTTGAGGGCGAAAGCTTGTTGGTCATGTTTTGGCCTGCTTCAGGTGTGTAAGATACGATCGTTGGCGTGCGATTGATCGCCCTGGCTCACATCACGCTCCCTTATAATCTCACACAGCCGTACTGAGACAGCCTGCCGTGCACAGAGCTCTGGCCGTGCGCCCTGAAGCTGCTCTCTGTGTCGGTGGAATGTGACAGATTGTGTGGTCGTCGTAAATGGTCAGCATTAGTGTCATGGCTTGAACCATGCTGATGCCTCATCACTGGATGACTCCTGACTGTCGGACCATTCATTTTCGAGCCTTTTGGAATGGTGAGCTGGACGTCGTCGGCTTCTCTGTGCTACAGAATTGTGCCGTGCCCCATCCGCCTCTCGCGTTCGACCTGCGACTGGGGAGTGACCTATCACGCCTGCTGGACCCGTCACCGACATCCGGCACTCGGCATTTTGTACGGTCCGTGACCGCATGCTCCATCTGACGTGCAGACGCGTGCGCTCCACCTGTGGCCGATGAGCTTCATGCGACCTCTGACCCACGTGACCCGCGACCCTCCGTGACCTGTGACCCGGTCCGTGTCCGCAGGTGGCACGCCAGGTGACTTTTTCCCCGTGACGGTGACCTTCAGCAGCCAGAGGTCAATGGCCGCCATCCAGGTCACAGGGGTCACGGCCGTCGACTCGTCTGAGCCCATCAAACACTCGGTCACCATCTCCTTCTTCCCGGAGAAGTACGAGATCGTCTGAGCGCTGCGTTGCTGGCAGCCTGTGGCGTGACGTCACGACCGTGCGTGACGTCACGACTTGGAGGTGGCGATCACACCGTGGTTCTGTACGAAACCGTCAAAGCGGTCTGGAGAGACCATCACGCCACCGTGGGTGACCCATCCGAGCTCTCTGCGGGGAGCCGGTGCGAGGACGGAGCGAGCGGACTGGGTGACGTCACGGCGTGCTGAGCCGCCGGTTGGTCGGTGGGAGGAGCGTGCCCGCGGAGGCGGTACAAGCACCTGTGGAGCGCAGGCGGGCGGTTAGGACTATTCGGGGGGGGGGGGGGGGGTGGTTGCCATCGCTTTTTGTTGGTGCACAGCTGTGGTACGTTGACGAATTCCGTGGTTTATTATTACGGTAATATATGACATGCTATCATGGACGCTTCTTCATGGCGACGACCGTGCAGGGAAAAGGAATTGAACGCAGATTGTGGATCCACATTCCTTGGAAATAAAAGATGTTCATAAATGCTTTGAATCTTCTTTAGTGTGGTGTGTTCGTCATGGTTTTTTGTTTGTTTTTTGGAAGGTCTGTGCGCCATCTTGAGACAGGGAGGTTTCCATCCTTTCGCGGTACGCGGACTGGAATGGAGACCGTTGGACGGAACATTAGCGATCTCCGGTGGTTATGATTTTCACGGCAACGCCATTGCAGGCTAGACTTCGCGCTTTAATAGGTCCGTGGTCTCTCACGCTAGATATCTGACCATGCATTTTGGCGCTTGTCAGTCGTCGTTGGACTGTGGCTTGACTTAGAAAATCGCGCGCCGTGTGCATGTGGCTACGGTGGGTCAAAATGAATAAATGACGCATCCAACCACCGATCATATTCAACAATGATACACAACTGAGTGTTAAATACGCGGGCAAGCTACCGTCAAGACGGCGAACGCGGGCACGACGGGCTGAGATGTCAAAGGCTAGGCTAAAAGTAATGTTTCATACCTGACTGTTGCGTACCATACCTGTTGCATACCATGTTTTCGAAACTTTGATCGTTGATGGCACACTTTTGGGATCCCTGTGCTCTTGCTGAACAATGCTTAGATACCATGCATGTGTACCGCCCGGGGATCACATCTTAGTTCGCTGATTTGTGGAGACAGCGTTATTGGAATCGATGCCGGCATTGGCCCAAATCGCTGGGGTCGACCAACTGCGCTGCACCGCCTAGACCGACACTAGAGTCAGTTCGTCGAGCTTTGAGTCCGAGCTGGAGTCGGTCTGCCACCACGAAACGAAGCACAGCCCGCAGTCGGCTTACCAGCTTTCGATCATCATAGACAGCGGCAAGGATGCAGCTTACCGACGACTTAACCGAGCGCAAAATGAAATACAACGGGGAACGACACCACGATAAACCTATGATCTCAAACTCGACGGCGCCACGTGCGAGGTCACGTACGTCTATGGTGTTTCCACCTCGCGGGGATTCGCGGAAACATATCGCGTTCGTTTCACCGCTGTGCTGTATCAAACACTGTTTATATACAGTCCAAACCTCGCCTGCCTACGCAAGGTGACGTCATTAGACATAAGCATGTTCTGGCGTTAAACTGTGGTCGGGCCGCTGGCGCTGTGGTGTTGGCACCACAGCTGACACCACTGGTGACACCATGGGTGCAGTGGTTACCCCGTCGGTGCCGCCAGTCCCGCAGCGGCTCCCTGCCAGGCTGGCGGATGGGGCTGCTAAATTAACTTTGGACACAAAAGAGTGCTCGTTTAGCGAAATTGTTCCCTGAGGCCTGTTTCATTCAATTCGAATGTGAGGCTGGAGAGAGGAGAGCATCTTAGAAAAATGTGCTAAGTGTGTAGAATATTGTGTATAGTGTGTAGATTAAGAAACACGGTCTCAGACAGGGTCCAGTGTCGATAACTGGGTCAGTTTCAGCTTCAGTGGCCCCCCTGTATTCGACAAACACGGTCTCAGACAGGGTCCAGTGCCGATAACTAGGGCAGTTTCAGCCTCAGTGGCCTCCCTACACTCGACAAAATTGCGCTTGCCTGACACCCTGTAGTTTTTGCTTATTACACTCTTAACCTTTACGTTGTGGGTGGTTATTCTGTTCTCTTCAGTGGCTTCTTTAGTCTCGCTGATCCTAAACGTTGACAGCAGTGCCACGAAGTTTTGGGGATTTTGATAGAACTAACATTCACGTGTTACCCCTAAATTTGAGAACAATCAGTGGGGCTGAAGCGTTTCCAGGTCGTTATTTATTGGAGGTAATGTCCTCCGCGTGAGGGTGACATGCTGAAGGTTGTGCGGCAGGGGCGGATCCAGGGGGCACGGGGCCATGCGCCCCTTGGGCTCCGAAGGGGCCCATTGGCTCTGAGGGGGCCAGCAGCCAGCCGAACAGGTGCAGTTTTTAACACAAAACGCAACAAAACTAGGTATCTCTGGACTTCCAGGCGACCAAGAACAGTTATAAGCAAAGGTAAAGGGCCTATGAAAAGTTAAAAAAATATTCCATGATTGGAAAAGTTGTGAACTGGAAATTTTAAGCCCCATTACACTGTCTAGGGGCTTCATGCTGTTTCCGGGGGACCTGTACGCCCACTTGCAGGATCAGTGCGATCGTTAAGGAGCATTCTACGTTGCCCTTCATTTCTTTGCATTTGTTCGGAGGACCCCGCGCTGTTATTGGGGCCCTTTCTGTTAACGTGCCGGGGCACTCTTGTCAATTATGGACTCCTCCACGGATTCTTTCCATTCGCCAGAAATGTTTTGTGAGCTATAGCCGGGGTTCCATATTTTAACCTGTCGGGGTATTGTCGGTTGCTTAGTGGCCTTTTACGTGGGTCTCGGTTAACATATCGACACACTTGCAATATGCTCATGGGCTCTCTACATTGGTTTAGGGCGTTTCCAATTCTCTGTTCTTGCTTAGGGCCCTACACCCTTGTCGGGGGCCCATCTGGTGGCCTGTTTGGGCATACTCAGTCGTTCGGGGACCCTCCACTCTAGGTCTTAGGTACTTCTTTTCTGAATGGGGAGCCCTATGCTCTGGTAGGGGGCATATCTGATGACCTGTTCGGGCACACTCAATCGTTCGAGGGCCCTCTACATTGGGCCTTGGACACGTGCTATTGAAATGGAGCCCTACGCACTTGTCGAGGACCCCCTCTGTTCGCCTCCTCGGCCACACTGGATTGCTCGGGGGAACCTGCACATCGGTTCTTGGTGTTTTAATTTAAGGCTCTCTGCTCCCATCGGAGTCACCTGATAACCCGCTCGGGTACACTCTATCTTTCGGGGCCCTCCGCACCGGGTCTTGGGTACTTCTTATTTGAATGGAGGGCATTACGCTCCTGCCGGGTCCCCTTCTGATAGCATGCTCGGGCCCAGTCGATGGTGGGGGAACCTCCGCATCTGCTTTTGGGCACTTCCTTTTGGAATGGAGGGCCCTCCGCTTTTCGGGGTCCTATCTGTTAACCTGCTCTGGCGCACTCGATTATTTGAGGTCCTCTGCATCATGTCTTGGGTGCTTCATTTCTGAATGGAGGGCCCTACGCACTTGTCGGGCACTCTATCTGTTCGCCGCTTCGGCCACACTGGATTGTTCGGGACACTATATACTGGGTCTTGGTGTTTGTATTTAGGGCCCTACACTCCTGTCCGGGCCACCTGATCATCTGCTCGGGTGTACTCAATCTTTCGGGTGCCTCCGCGCTGGATTTTGGTGACTTCTTGTTTCAATGGAGGGCGCTACGCTCTTGTCGGGCCCCTTCTGATAAGCTGCTCGGGCACGTTCCATCATTCTGGGGTTATTTACATGGGGTCTTTGGTGCTTTCCATTCGAATGGAGGGCCCTGCGCTCTTGTTGGGAGCCCTATTTGGTAACCTGCTTGGACCCATTCGATCATTCGGGGGCCTCTACATTGGGTTTTGAACATTTCCTACTTCAGTGGAAAGCCTCACGCTCTTGACCGGGGCCCTACTGTTAACCTACTCTGGCGCACTGGATCACTTGGGGTCCGCAAGATTGGGTCTTTAGTGTTTCCTATTTGAATGGAGGGCCCTACGCTCTTTTTGGGAACCTTTTCTGTTAATCTACTCGGGCACACTCGATCATTCGGGGGGACTTCTACATTGGGTCTTGGGTGCTTCCTTTTTTGAATGGGAGACCTCACGCTCGTGACGGGGGTCCGATATGTTAACCTGCTTGGGCGCGCACGATCGTTCGGAGCCCTACACCTTGCGTCGTGAGTATTCCTTATTTGAATTGATGGTCCTGTATGCCTGGCGGGCCCCACCTATTCAGCTGCTCGGCCGGTGGCGGACGCAGAGGAGGGGAAGGGGAGGCACGGGACCATGCCCCATGGACCATGCCGAGGGGACCTAAAGGCTCCGAAGAAGCCCATAACCGGTCGGACGGGCGCAGTTTTCTTCTTTTTTAAATTGGATGCCGTTGGACCGACAGACGACCAAGAACCATTGTAAGCGAAGGTAAAGAGTTCATAAGTAAACAAAGTTTATTTTTCGCTGATTGAGGAAGCGTTGCTTGGGAGAAATTTTGGGGCTCATTACGCTATCTAGAGGCATTGCGCTGTTGGTTGCCTGGGCCTACATGTCTATTCGCCATATCAATCTGATCGCTAAAGAGCTTTCCTCGTTGCCCTTGATCTCTTTGCATTTTCTCGCAGCGTCCAATGCGTTGTTGGGACGCTATCTGCCTCCATGCATGGACACTGTTGATCGATCAGGTTTTCCTCCACGGATTCTTCCCATTCTCCCAAAAGGCTCTTCACATTTTTTCCGAGGTCCCATATGCCAGGGTACACTCTGTTGCTCAGGGACCCTTCATATAAGTCTCGCATACTTTCCACTTGCTTGGACGGCCTTGTGCTGTTGCTAGGCTCTTCTGTTGTGTATAAGGTAAGGCACGGAGACACTTCATGCTTAGGGGCCCTCTACTTTGATCGAGGTCTCCCCCCTTTGGTCTCATTTGCGGAGGACTTTGCACTGCTATCCAGGCTCATGTTGTTAACTCTGCCCGTGCATTCTTGATCGCACAGGGGTATTTATTCATGGCCTTGGATAACTCCCCTTTGCCCGGAGGTTCCTGTGCTATGGCCACGGCCTTACGTCAGCCTGCCGGGGCACTACCGATCGTTTAGGGGCCCACCACGTTAGTCTTGGGTTCTTTTTGTTTACTCTGAGGGCCCTATTTTTGTTGACGGGAGCCACTTTGTTGACCTCCTGCGGCACCCATGATCGTTCAGGTTCTGTCCCTGTTGGCCTGGGTGCCTTCGCCTTACAGCAGCAGTCGAATATGCGCCAAAGTTATTTTTACGCGCAATTGCCGAACGTAATTTCACATGCCACCGACGTCGTATGTGTCATTCTCATTGGCTAATGAGTGTGTGACACTTCTTATATTAGCGCATCGTGTTCTTAGCATATTTTCAATGCCTGGATATGTTGCACTCCTTTATAATAGCTGAAAAACTCTGCATTAGTCATCAGCTATC